AATTATGTGCTGTCTTTTGTGCTAGGATTTTGATTTTTGGATTTCAGACATTGTTGAATTTACTTACATTTTTCTACCCTGACGAGAGAATATCCTAGCAAATTGAAATAATCAATCTAGAGATATTTGGCTCAAAAACAACTATAGCTGAGTAGCTTCTCGTATGGGACCTCAGTACCTGCTGGGAAACTGGCTAAATAACCAAAAACTCTTCAGTATTGAATATAGGTAGTGTTGATTGAATGTGGTGTGTGGAATTAAAATTTTAGCACAAGGACAAAGACGGTACCTGATTTAAACTATCATTGACTTGAATTATTGAATTAATAACACAATTATTATTAAAATGACACAGTTGTTACGGGATTATTTTTTCCCCCTCAAGTAAAAGTACCCCCATCTAGAAATTTATGACTAAGTTTTCATTCATCTATACAGTTTTCATTTCGCTATTTTTTACTACCATCTAACAATAATTGTGGTTATTTATTTAAACATTTCATATTATATTATATTATTACAGATTCCTACACTTGCTTTATAGTACCGGTAGGAGGTGCCGGTACTTTTGTTCTCAGTTTTCAAATTTGATAGCTGTTAAAAATAATCAGGGTTTTGAATGTGCTCTAATAGTTACAGACTTTGGCCCATGCAAGACCTTGTTAAATTTAACGACGTGTCAAATTCGTTAATCGGGAGCAAAAGTATCGGCCCTATAGGTTCACTTCAGCTACCTGTTTATATTTTGTTATTACTTATTTACCGATGTAGTATGTAGTTTGTAGTTGTATATAACTGTCAATATTTCCATAACAGTTGAACTTAGGTAAGTATAGGCTATATCACATGAAATCTGCTCAGAATTTTACGTAATATCCGAAGACGTCTTTTTCTGTTGAAATTTTTTCAAACCGTTTTATACACTCCATTTTCGTGTTTCAATAGTGACGTCATGTACGACAACGGTACAACCAGCTTTGAAATGATCTTTGGGCACGCTTCAAACAGGGTTTTTGGCATTTGTTGTTGTTTTTGTTAATATGACCTATTTCACTGTAAATAGTGCCAATATCAACTGAAGAGAAAATTAGCTAGTGCAAATATGAATGAAGACTCAATGCGAATTCCATTTGTAGAATCAGTGCAAAAAAAAAAAATGTATCCCTATCCTTGTATTTCACATGCTTTAAGAAAAAGATGCTGATACATTCAGTGCGCACTGATTAACAAATGGAAGTCGTCAAGAAAACGTGGAAATGGCAGCATTCCAACTTAGATTTTTTTTATTAATATGACCTGAAAATTTTAGATGACGAGTGTCACGCGATTCGTTTCAAAATCGTGCATTTTTGTCACACTGCAAATTGATGACGTAACAATCGAAACAGTTTTGAACCGGGTTTGAAACGGTTTCATGATCAAAAAGACATCTCAATTATGCAATCACATACAAAGTGTCGCATTTAAAATAAGCAAGTTGACTTTCGGTATAACCGGAAGAGCCACCATCTTGGAAATATTTTAGCCGGGTTGCCCCGATTCTTGGGGTTGCCCCATTGACATTGGTATACTGTCAAATTTCCAAAAAAATTCTGTATACAGTTTTTCATATTATTATATAAATCGATTTGGTTTGTGGTATATAACTTCTTCTTTTTTAGATTTCCGTTCTTGAACATCTAGAGTGTATAAAAATAAAAAAATAGAGGGAGGCGGAGGTCTGGATGTTTGAATGATAATATGGTCTTCTAAGACTTCTAAGAAATTTACTCTCTTCTATACGGAAGCCCGGTCGTGCAATCTGTCTTCCGAGTTCTTAGTTCATAGTTCTGACGTCACAACTCGGAATTTCTGATTGACTACGTCATAACTCGGAAATGCTCATTTATTACTAGTTTGGTGAAAATAATTGAATGAAAATATAGTAGTCATATCGTAATATCGTATCCTCCCATTGTGACACTATAGAACCCATCTGTTTCGCTCGCGCTTGCACTCCCATCGAACATCAATCATGACTATTATTAGCTGAGTTCAGCTTGGCAAAACGGAGTTGGAGCGGATACAGAGCGGTTTCATAGTCAGAGTGAAAAGAGTAAAATGGTTAAGTCGAACGCATCAGGAGCAAGGCGAGCCGCGAATGCTGCGGGCGCTTGCGCAAAGATAATTTTTGACATTTATTTAATTCTAACCTATAAGCAAAATAAATAAAATTAATTGAAATGTTTTATCCGTGTTTTGTGTTCCTGGTTTTTGAGCCTATTTATCCAAAATCCAAATAAATAAAAATTAAAAATATAATTCTTTAGGTTAGGATAGTGATTTTTGACGATTTAATTGACCGCCTTTTGGAAATATAGGAAGTGCGCATGCCCGCTCCTCGAACATCATCTCACGAGGTGAGGCTTGTGGAGTTAACTCTTTTCACTCTACTCGGCTGTACCCGAACGATGAGGAGCTTGGACTATTTGCTCCCAGTGGCCTGACCCGAACGATTTTGGAGTGGAAAGCGTCAAAGGAGTCAAAAGAGTTGCCAAGCCGAACTCACCTTATATAGGTACTCGTCTGGCAGACACTCGCAACCGCCAACCGCCAGAATAGGCTGGCCTGTTTACATATCGTCTGGTACATACTTGCAACCCTTAAAATAGGTTGTCATTGTTTTTTACGCTTAAACATAATATGTAAATTAAAAACATAAAAATTGTGGCCTTGTGGGAGTTGTTTTTTTTTTTTATTTATTTACATTTTCAAACAGGGACAGAAAATAATTATGTGTTGCTCTATATAATAATTTAATTGCTTCTTCCGGTATTTATAACTAAAATTTATATAGGGTGTTCAATTTAAAATAACGAAGTTCTGTCGCATACCCCATTTATAGAGCACCCTGTATATATTCGAAAATATTTTTGGCTAATGCGCCTTGGAATATCAAACAAATTTGTGATTTAGTTTTTTTTCTTGCATCACCCTGTAAGGAGATATCGTCCGATATCGCACTAAGTGGACATCCTGTATGTATATTTTAGGTACAACTGAAGAAGCAATAAAAATATCAGGAAAGCAGAGTTTTCCTGAAAATAAATATGTATTAGCCGGTAATTGGTATTCCCATTCTTTCATTGTAGTGGCTATTTTCACTTCGGTCTAGATAGCAATTGGTGGAAATTTTGAATATTTAATTATTCTCTTGGTAAATTCGACTTCACTCAAGACAGATTGAGTCCATTGATTTTTTTAAAATATAAAGATTCGAAGAGGAAACCAAGATTAGTAATGTAATTGTCATGGTAGCTGTAGGTTCATCTCATTTTCCGAAGGAGTTCTCAACCCATAGAAAATTTTTGTCTATCAGTTCAATCTGAAGTTTTACAACTAATTTTGTCAATTTTATTCCTTTGAGAATCTAAGGATAAGTTTTGGTTTTCTTATTTTAAAAAATTCCGGTTCTAAAAAAGCTGTAGGAAACTAATGAAGACTATAAGAAACTCTATGTTTTGTATTTAAACTCTTGGGTTCATTTCGAATTTCCTCACCAGGACGCTGTAGAATTGCTTTGCAGATCATTTAGATCTAAGCTAAACTTCCGGAAATTAGGTCAACGCCATTGAAAAAAAATATATAACAAATTACACTTTTTAAAACAAAACCTACATATCAGTCTGGTCATCTCCGGTTGATTTAAAGTTTTTTTTTTATATTAAATAGAACAAAAAATAAGGTCAATATCGCCTGAAAATAGTTCATCAACATTATTATCTTCGACCCAATCACTGTAATTAACAAATTTACATTAAATGGATAGCATTTTCGTTGAATGTCGGATTTAAATCCGGGATTACAAGGATTAATTTGCAGAGGCGCGGATTCAACCCTTTCAAAAATATATTGAAACGTGATTCAAATGATCACTCACTATAGGTTCTTGAGCCAGCCTTGTTTGTTTATTGGGGCAGACTTGATTAATGATTCAATGATAATACAAAGCAAACATCATATGAAAATGTTTGATATTTTTTCCCACGCCACTGAAATCAGCATCAGCATCTAAGTACCATGTGTATTAAAAAAAAAAGAGTACGATCGCGTGTGCAATGACCAGCAGCGGCGCTTTCCCGGAAACGGCTTTGTCCGCGTTTCCGGACTAAAGTGTCCAACATCAAGGCTCCGGGGGACTTGCCATCATCATCATCATAATCATTAATCACCGACGAAGGGTTCCCATTTTGGTACTTTACAGTTTGCAGGGTACCTGGACGGTACGCGGATTGTGCGTGCGTAAGTGACCACTTACTGGACGTGACTTTATTTATTGCGTTATAGACTATCGATTAATTTTCGTCGTAATTGGTAGTTTGAATATATTATTATTATTTATTGGGGCTTTTTGCTATAGGATTATACTTGGTAAGTTGTAGTAATAATTATTTATTTTATACATTACATTGTTCTGTTGCAATTTTCTACACAAGTATAAATTGTTTTTAGTTTTTATATTTAGATCAAGGGTTGTGCAACTGAGAAAATTTGAAAATTCTCCTAAAATCATGTTTTTTTTTTTTAACTTTTAATTGCAATGCACTTTTGTCATTTTTATATTTATTCTTTTGAATTTGTTTTTATTATTATTCCTTTATCACGAATCTCCTTTATGTCTGTATTAGATATTTTCACTTGTGTTGGATTTATTGCATTTTTAATATCTTCTTTAGATTAGTTTGTTTTTGGTTTAAATTAGGACTGGTAGATTTTTTTTACAATACTACTTTGTAGGTATTTCTATTCTCAATAATGTTGTTCGCAGTTTCAGAATGTTTGTATACTTATTTTATACAGTAAAATTGATTAATTTCATAAATAATTGAGTTAATTTTATTTTTAATCAATAATTTTTCCGCACGCATTTTAAAAATTATTTCTTTGAGAGGATTGTTTTCCTCATTGAGTGTAATCTGGATTATAAATATTTTCATATTTTCAAAAATATAAAGACCACAATAAAGAAGAAAGTTGTATTTACCAAAAAAAATATCTAACATATTATTAATAAAAGAGACTTTTCACATATCATATGGACTAACCAGCCACAATTCGGGCTTATCGTAACCCAAATTTTCTGGAAAATCACATCCGAGATCGGCAACGGTCGGTCCAATTTCCTATATTAAATGGGACAAATACACATTAGTTTCAAAAGGAAGTTTTTTTCAAGAGGAGAATAGTTATTAGGATTTTTTTTTTGTCCTTTTGATGATTACATAAATAATTGTACCAAACCTGAACAATATAAGGATAAATCTCGTTCACGTTATTTCCGCACTTATCTTTGACCAGCTCGAGAAAACGCACGGCCATGGCGTAATCGTTGAGACGTCGGCACGCGTGTAAACCGGCGATAATGATTCTTGGTTCCGGTACCGAGTCGTAACCCGTGAGGTCGTTCATTGCTTGGCGCACGTCCCAGCCGTCGGCGTCATCGCGACCAAAAATACATTCGTATCTGGAAAAAGGGAAGGAATATGAGGATAGGATAGGTAGATGGATAATGGATGATAAAGTCTAAAACTCTGTTCCCAGATAACTGTAATTTTTTTTTTTTTTGTAATTGAAAGATGCTATGAAAGTAGACAACAGTGTCCTCAATCCAAGGTCCTGTCCTTCTATTCATCCTAATTTTGAAAGCAAGTACATGCGAAGGCAATTGAAGCAATTTTTAAAGTATTAATTTTACAATTCTCATTGCGAAATAAGCAGTATGTTGAAATCAATAAATTTATTGGGACTCTAATAGAAACAATTCTCAGTTAAAGCCAGTAAATTTTATCAAGTTGAGACTCTAACAATAAGATCCTTTGTTGCAGGCTTAACCTTTACATTATCTATGTTTTGACTTGCAGCCCAACTCTGCTAAAAGTTCAATCTAGCATGATTGCTTCCAACTTGTGATTGCTTCAAACCATTTTCTTGATTTATTAACTATCTTCCTAATTTCTTACTTCCCTAAATTAGAGTGCCTATGGAGAAAAATTTAATCTTAATCCAATTCGCCATTATCGCAGGTAGTTCGCCAGAAAACTTATTCAAAACTATTGTTGATAATTCTGAAATACTCTGTCTATCAATTCCCTTCAAACAACATTGGGTTCAAATCTCTGGATCTCCTTAGATATTGTCATAGATCCACATAATTTCCATGAATGAGATTGCTATAACCTTCACAGCAGCCAAAGTCCTTTTGACTGATGGACTGATTATAAGTTTGTAAGCTTACTACAAGATTTATGAGCCGATGCTTTTCTAGTTCGGCATTATGTCCCTTTTTTGGGAAGTAGGATCACATCACGATGTGTCACTGAAATTTAATTACTGAAGAGGCAGAGATTTGAGAGAATTTACACTTTTCGAAGCAAGCGCGTTGTCCTATTTTTATCGAATCAGCGATTTGCCTTAAATTTGCTCTCCACCTCTTGTCAATTTTTCCTCAATTTTCGCTTTTTCAAGGCTTTTGAAATTTTGTTCTTTTATAAAATTTCTTCAAATACAGAAAACCAAAAAATAATTTAGTGAGAGCCTAGAATGAAAAAAACTATTCAGCTGTATGCAACATCCTATTTTAACTTGAAAGCGTTTTTTAAAACTGGTCACTTTTAAAAATGTGTATTCTACGCCATACAAATTTCTAAAGGTACCAGTTTTAAAAAGCGCTTTTAAGTTAAAAGAGGATGTTGCATACAGCTGATTGTCTTTACAGTCTGACATACGAATGAACCTTAGCAACGTGTAAAGTGGCAGAGGAGAAAATATGTATAAATCTCCTTGTCTCACTCGGATTCATAGGCGTGCCCGCATGCTTTCCACACAGGTTCGTTCAGTTGTGGCACTGCACTTCTTCACAAATTTTCTCTCCATTTCTCAATTTCTCATATGAGAACCTGAAACCTCAAATTGAACACGGTTGTCTAAAAACTGTATATTTTTGCCCAAGATAGATTTTAACATTTTAAACTTTGAAACATAAACAATGCCGCTTATTGGTCGCAAGATGCCATTGTAAAACTGATTCCAACCTGCAGGAGCACCGCATTTTGCGACCAATCAGAACCAAGCGGTATTGTTTATGTTTCAAAATTTTCAATGTCAAAGTCTATCTTGGGAAAAAATACACCTTAGCTATATTTCCCCTTTATTTCTCAATTTCTCCTCAATTTTTGTCTATTCCTGACTTTTTTAAATTGGCCCCGTCAAGATAGCCCCCCCACATCCGAACTTTTTAACAAAATTGCAACCACTAACTGTACTCGAAGTGTGCTATAGGTACTGTGCCTATCATATTTTGAACTGTGCCGTTCCGATACCAAAGTTATAGGAAAAAAAAAAAAATGAGGGGCTAACTTGACGCTCAGCCACCCTAAAATTTTGGAAATCAGATCGAACAAAAATTGATTTTTATGCAATCTGGAGTGTGCTGAACTGTGCTGTATCAGGTTTTTCTCAAAAGTTCCATATTCAATCATTTTCCGACAAAATCCTACTGAGGGGCTAACTTGACGCTCAGCCCCCCAAAATTTTGGAAATCAGATCAGACAAAGATGGACTCCTATTCAATCTGAAGTGTGCTCTATCAGGTTTTTCCTAAAATTTCCATATTCGGTCATTTCCCCATTTTCCGACAAAATCTTACTGCAGGGCTAACTTGACGCTCACCTCTCCCCCCAAAATTTTGGAAATCAGATTTAAAAAAAAAATTGATTCCTTTATTCAATCTGAAGTGTGCTGGATTATGCTGTATCAGGTTTTTCTCAAAACTTTCATATTCGGTAATTTTCCAACAAAATCTTACGGGGGGCTAACTTGACGCTCAGTGCCCCAAAAATTTTGGAAATCACATCAAACAAAAATAAATGCCTCCTATCCCATCGAAAGTGTATCAGGTTTATCTCAAAATTTTCATATTCGGTAATTTTTTGACACTTTGACGCTCAGCCCCTCAAAAATGTTTGAAATCACATGGAACAAAAATGGATTCCAATGAATTTCCAAAATGTTGAGGGGGCTGAGCGTCAAAGTTAGAGCCCCAGTAGGAGTTTGTCGGAAAATGAGCAAACATAGAAACTTTGAGAAAAACGTGATACATCACAGTTCCGATTGCATTAGAATCCATTTTTGTTCGATCTGATTTCCAACATTTTGGGGGAGCTGAGCGTCAAGTAAGTCCTCTAGTAGGATTTTGTCGGAAAATGACCGAATATGGAAATTTTGAGAAAAACCTGATACAGCACACTTCAAATTGAATAGGACTCCATTTTTGTTTGATCTGATTTTCAAAATTTTGGGGAGTGGCTGAGCGTCAAGTTAGCCCGCACCCAGTAGGATTTTGTCGGAAAATGACCGAATATGGAAATCTTGAGAAAACCTGAAACAGCACAGTTCAGCACACTTCAGATTGAATGGGAATCCATTTTTGTTTGATTTGGGGGGCTGAGCATCAAGTTAGCCCACCAGTAAGATTTTGTCGGAACATGACCGAATATGGATATATTGAGGAAAACTTGATACAGCACAGTTCAGATTGAATAGGAATCCATTTTTTTTCAAATATGATTTTCAAAATTTTTGGGGGGCTGAGCGTCAAGTTCGTCCCTCATCTTTTTTTTTCCTATAACTTTGGTATCGGAACGACAAAGTTCAAAATATTATCGGCATAGTAAAGCACAGTAAGTGATTGCAATTTTTTTAGAAAGTACAAATGTGGGGGACTAACTTGACAGAGCCTTTTAAATTTTCATTTCCGCGTAAATTTTCTCAAAGTGCCTAGAGAAACTATTGTCTATACTTTTCTAGCAATTTTCGATCGATTTCCCAATTTCTTCCTGGTTTTTGTTTTCCTGTAAACTTCTTCGGAAAATAACGTAAATACGAGACCTTGAAATAGAAAAACTAGGTGTTTCAACAATTTTTCCCCAATTTGCTTCAACGGACCTCGCGCACATTTCTTATGAAATATTGGAATTTGGTCAATTTTTCTGAAAATTCGATATGATGTTACTCTTAACATTCTGATTGAAAATGTCCATAGGCACAACTTGATCCTAGGACTACACCATTTCCAACAGTATTTCAAAATCGGTCAAATGTATTTCAAAATAATCACTTTTATTTCAAAAATTGATATTTTAATTTCCAATTTATCACTTTTATTTTCAAATATGTCATTTGTATTTCAAATTAATCAAATGCATTTCAAACTATACCATTTATACTTCCAAAAAAATCAGATGTATTTCAAAATCATCATTTCTTATATCATCAAAAACTTTAAGGGAGGTACAGGGTGTCTGGTTATAATTTGATTTTTTTAACTGTACGATATAAACACATACTTTATTTTTTAACCGAATTGATAATCTTTGAAATAAAACTGACCATTTTTGGAATACATTTCACTAATTTGAAATACATTTAATGTATTTCGAAATAAGTTTGGTTATTTTGAAATACATTTGATATATTTTTAAATAAAATTCATAAAGATTGAAATCAAATTGATGCTTTTTGATATTCAATTGACATTTGAAATTTTTTTAAATTAAAGTTGTTATTTTGAAATACATGTGATGCTTTTTGAAATCAACTTCATCTATTTTGAACTAAAAGTGGAAATGATGTAGTTTTCGAGATACAGGGTGTTGAAACTATCCTATACATCCAATACAATATACTACTGTCAATGTGAAGCTGGCGCAAGAACACTAGGGGATGTGCTGCCACGTAGCCGGCGTTATTTGGTAAACGGCCTTCTAACAGATGACTGAGGCTTTTGTGTCACCGGCTCTTAGACTATAAATGATTAATAATTATTAATAATGTTCAAATAGAACAGGTAAACTTTAAAGATGTTTTGCGAACGCGATGGATCAATAATAATGAATTTTTTGATGCGCTTCAACTTGACCCTTTTTACTGACTGTGACAGAGTGACAACCCTAATTTGCAGACACCTGGGGCTAGGATCACGACAAGTAGAATTCTACTTTTATGACGTCAGGTTGCCTAGCAACTATCATCATCCTATGTACTGTATGCGATAAATAGGTCGCGGGTGACGTCATGATAGTAGAATTCTACTCGTCGGGATCCCAGCCCTGGAGTGCGTTTAGAAATGGAGTGTGAGAGTAGAGTAGTTGTTTGTCAGAGTGTTCTGACGTTATCACTTGGAGTGCATTCTGGGTGCGCTATTTCTGAACGCATTGGGGCGTTGTGGTAAACGTTTAGTCAACGTCAAACTCGGTAAAACTCACGGGGCGTTTTTCAACCCAGTCCCTGAGTGGGGTAATTTGGGTGTACTCTAGGCGCGTCAACTCTCGATTTCTGAACGATTCCAGCGTAACGCTCCGAGTAAGCACCTGGTAATTTATGAACGGTTTAGAGTTACTCTAGGGTCACTCTCACACCCAGAGAGTGCTATTTCTAAACGCAACCCTGCGGTGATAATCTCTGGAGCGAGTGAGAAGATAGTAGGAGTAGAGAGGGTAAATGAAATAGTCATAAAATAGTTTTCTGTTGGAAACATTTTTCAAGTTTGCTTAAAATTAGGAAACATTCACAATAACGCTATTTTTGCGTGACAACAGGCTGCCTATGAAATTTCCTCAAAAACAAAGATAAATAAACTGAAATGCGAATTAGAAATTAAACATAGTTAATGGTGAAAAAGTAACGTCTGACTATAGAGATATCACGGATGGTGTGACGCAAGGGTCAAGGGTCAGTGTTGGCTCCATTACTCTTTCTGTTTTACATTAATGACTTAACTTCGCTGAGTATTGCAGGTAGTTTCACTTTGTTTGCGGATAACACTTCAATTTGCTGGGCGGAAGACGATCCAGAGGTCTTACAGACAGTTATCTGTACAGATCTGGCATCAATTAAGCAATGGTTCGATGTGAACAAACTGGCCCTCAACTCAAAAATAAGTACTAATGACATTCATAGGGCCACAGACTATACATTTTTAGGGATTGTACTGGATAGTTGCCTGAAATGGGAAAACCACTTGAATATAAGCATCTCAAAAAATTTGGTATCTGCTACTTATGCTATTAGATCTATCTCACAAGAATTAAGTACCGAAGCTATATCACTGTTTGAGTCACACTTGAAATATGGGTTTGTGTTCTGGGGAGATTTTATAAAAAAGAGCAGTCCGAATAATTTCAAATGCTGATCGGCTATCAGATAAAAGTAACTAGGAGGTCAGTTTTCCATTTAGGTAGAGCTTGATATAATGCAATAAATAAAAAATAACTGTTGGCTAGCCCTTAATAAAGGGCAAGTGCCAATTGACCTTTTCAATTTAAAACCCTCTCTCTCTGGCGTCAAACTGTCAGACGCCAAAAGAGTATGAAAACAACGGTTGACAGCCGCTGACAGTGGTTTGTTGACAAGATTTTTGTACATGTGGAAACTGGAAACTATTATTTCTTCGGTTTTTCAAAGTTTTTCCCTAACAATAGTGATTGTGTAGTGTGCCTTTTTGTAAAAATAATTCCTATTTACTGGCGGACGTGTCTTTCCATAAGTTTCCATCAAATCCTACATTTGTCAAATTTTGGATACATAAAATCAGAAAGAATACTCGCAAAAAAAAGGGAAATCCACGGCCTATCAATTATACAAAGTAATCCACGTTCAAGTTTAGTTTGCGGGAGCTGTTTGCTTCCAAAATAATCCACCGCTTTCTCCATAGCAAAGTTCTGCAAATGAAGTAGTGACTTTTCCTGCATTTTCTTTCAAAACACCCCAATACACACTGGCATTGACAAGCAAGCAAATGTTGGCGGGAAAATGATTGTTTTCATACCTTATTGTCCATCTCTTTTAATTCAAAACGTCAACTTTGAATTTGAAAATGAGAAACGGTGTCGGGGACAGAATTGAACCTTGGAGAATTTATAGGCAGTGTATCAGCAGAAGACATACCATCGACTAAAAGATGGAGTGACCTGTACGTCTTCCAAAAAGCTCCCCAGCCAATTGCAAAACTCGTTCGGAGACCATATGATGGAAGGGTCCTGAGGAGACCTTTGCGCCACACCTTATCAAAAGCCTTGCACATGTCCGCATTGCTACAGTTCTGAATTCGCCTCGTTTTTCGAGAGTCGAGTTCCAAATATGATTGAACGTATCTCCTGTGGATCTTTTACAACGAAACCCGCACTGCTTGTCAAACAAGAGCTGGTTTTGAGGTATTCAACTTTCAGTTTCACGTTGACTGCCTTTTTCATTACTTTTGAAAGTACAAATATAAGTGAGATGGGACGATAATTGCTAGGAAGAGTTTTCTTGCCATTTTTCAGGTGGGTTGCACTCTGGCACATTTCCAAATAGATGAAAAAACGCCTTGACTGTAAGAGAGTGAAAACAGTTTGCAAAGAACTGAAGGCAATCCTTGTATGCAAGATGCAAGTTTTGAGGATAATTGGCGAATGCCGTTTGGACCACATGATTTTCCAGTGTCAAGTTGCGAAAGAATTATCCCAATAGTTTTAGGTCTAAATACAACGTTATCCATGTAAGAACCGATGTGTGGCAGTACCTGGTGGCGCTCTGTCATTGTCCTCTATCGCAGAATTGGATGCAAATTGTTTGGCAAAGAGATCTGCTTCTTCCTTTGACGATACTACAGTGGCATTATTGTCCTTGACTAAAGGTGGAAAGAAATAAGATGTGAAATTTGTTTCTTATGGTCTTGGCAAAGTATCAAAAGGATATTGATCTGATCGGACAGTTCAGAAGTCGATTACGCATTCGTTGGTTGTGTAACTGCTCAGCCTTGTTAGTTTGGCCTGACCTCGTAAAAACCAAAAATATTTCATTTGATTGGATCAATATTTTCCTCTAAAAGGATTTTTGTCTTTCAAGATTAACTGGTTTCTCTTGGTTCTATTGAATCTGGAGAATTACTTGATGCTTTACTATTAGTTCTATAAGTTCACTGAATATTTAATTTTATCATGGGATCTATGTTTATTACAAATAGAAATTATTGGTTTTTGGACTGAAGATGTAAAAAGTTACAATTAAACGTTGCTGATAATTCAATAAGATTTCAGAAATAATAATTAGGAAAGAGAAGAAGAATACTTTTGAGTTTTGCGTGTTCAGCTAAGATATACTATTTATAATAATAATAATAATATCTAATAAACTGTCTTTATTGAAAACAAATGTTCATGACATTTGCCCATAGGGCGAAGATTGGCTTAAAGCTACTCATTAACCATTTAAGATGTATTTCTACATCGTTTCACCTGCCTCATCGTTTCAGACTGAAATGTTCATTTCTTAATGTATGATTTATGAATTGAGCAAATCGTATTTCACATTTTTACAAGACGGAAAGTAAGCCAAAGTCCTACGAAAATTCTGTTACTTTGGTCTAAATTCGATCCGAACGAAGCTTTGATTCGATTCCCACGTCACAGGCTTGAATATTAGCGAAGAACAATTGGAATTGGAAATTCTTTCGATATTTTTTTAATTGGCGAATAAAACTTAAGACACAAGTACTCACCTGCAAATCATCTCTTCAACAGTTTCATGTTCAACAGCCAAATTGCTGATGGGTCGGGATTTTTGCATGGGAGGAATCTGGGAAAGGGTGGGTAGCAGGTTTTTTAGGGCGGTGGAAGAATTTTTAAATACTTGCCCGAGCATCTTTGATGGTTTGACGAAGATCCTTGCTAGAGCCATGACTTTGGTCTGTAACAAAAATGATTAGGATTGTTAGATTTAAGGGAAATGGTTCAAGTTTTACATAAATACCTTCAAAAATCTTGCAAATTTTTGATTATTTTTCTTGAAGGAGTTAATATTGATGTCATTAAATTGACAGATTATAATTTTCTTGACAGTTTCTGCATTACAAAGGGTGCGTTCAGATTAATATATCAAAGATTAGGATTTTAAAATTTATAACAGTCATAAAGCAATGCATCTATAGTAGTTGACTATAGTTATTCATATTGATCTATTTCATGCGTAACTAACGCTCTCAGACAGAGGATCCATGGGATAATCGCGGCGTGTTTTTCACGGACCAATAAATATAACGCGGTATTTATTGGTAGGTAGGTATACAAAATAAGACAATGGATAAACTGTAAATTTTGCGTCACAATGGGAATTGATTGGAAGTTTTTCCTGGTTCCCACACAGGGTCTGGATAGATGTAACGCGGGTAAAATTCCTCGTTTGCTTTGAATAATTCCAAATCAGTCAAAGTTTCAAGGCTAGAGTCTACGACCAATTTGAAATTTCGTTCAATCAAGTTCTTAAAAATATTTGTATATTCTTTCTCAGAAATATATAAGAATTTGGATATCTTCAAATAATTTATTATTGTAAGTTTAATAAAATTATTATTTCAATAGAAGTTTTAAGATGTAGAGGAATGCTGGAACATGCATAATTTTTGAACCATTTTGCCAACCCATCAAATTTTATTAATGATGTTGACCTTCTTTTTCTGCACGTCTGGTATGGATGAGTTCACTACATGGAAAATACTTAATTCAGCGTTACCACTAATACATTTATTTAGCAAATAGTCGGTTAACCTTTTTGGTCGTCAGACCTTAAAAAAAAGCAGTTTTGATATGTTGCAATGACCGAATTCAATTCATAGCAAGTGATTATTCTGTTTACGGAATTCGATGCATTATTTATTTGCAAATTATGTAGGTACCTATATTGAAATATTCTAAATATCATTTATGCAATTTTTATAATCACATACCTACATAAGCAACTGGCATTGAAATATAAAAATTTTAAATCATTATTAGTAAATTAGTAGGTTCACTGAATCCAAATACCTATGTAATAAGTATTCAAAGGTATTTCATTTTTTATACAAATTTGAAGGATGCATGTCTGAAGCATATTGAGGAGCACGCCTTACATTTAAAAGGATTCTAATAATATTCTCTTAGACAAATGTAACGATGTAAGATTTGTTGGGTTTATCTGTCCAATTTATCAATTTTGTATAGTGACAAGTACTTTTGAAATGCAAAAGTATGTATGACCAAAAGATGATTAATTATCAATTTCTAACAGAAATAGCCCATCGCCTCAATGTTATTGAGGAAAGATTAGTAGAATTTCGAGCAAAGACGGAGCATAATGAACTAAAATTACCTATTACACCTTCTCATAGTTAATATAATTTCAGGTTTATAACGTTCTACATCTTCCTATTCCCAATTTCCAAGCATCTCTATCGATTCAGGCATACCTACTCCTCCAAGCCTCCGCCTCTCATTTCGTCGTCTACACTTCTTCAGCTTCTTCTTGGCCTCCCACGTCTTCTTCTTCCCCCTGGCTCCCACTCAATAATTTGCTTGGGTATTCTTGTATCTCCCATTCTTTGTATATATATAAATAAGTTGTTTATCCTTTATATCATCTACTACTGTGTATCTCACGTCCATAATTGCCCTAGTTCTCAGATTTGTGATCCTTTCTGTTTTTGACCTGCGTGCGGCCTGCCACTCTCCTCCAAAAGTCGATTTCAGTTGCTTACAGCATTTTTACGGTTTTGTTCTTTAGTGGCCAGACCTTGGATTGGCCAGACCTCTGAACCATATGTGACTATGCTTTTGACTATGGTGTTGTATATTCTAGCTTTGTTAGTTTTTTTGATATTTTGGGCCCACAGTACTCCATTTAGTAGGGATATTGCCTTGCGTCCTTGTATAATCCGATCTTCAATTCTTTTAGGGTTCCCTGATGCGTGATTTTCTTTCCCCAAATATTTGTATTTAGTAAATTGTTTTATTTCTCATCCGTTATTCAATTTCAGAGTTCATATATTCTGTTTTATTTAGATTTACTTCCAATCTCCATTTCTTGTATTCCTCTATTAATTTACGTGTCATGTACTCTAGATTTTTATAGTCCTGTGCAACTACTTGGTCATCTACAAAGCTTAGAGAATATAGGTTGTATTCATTAAGCGATATTACCATGTGTCTGCATTTGTTTTTCCACCCCTTAAACTTTAGTATATTTCAAAAAATGTTGGTGATATGCAGGATCCCTGTTTAAATTCTTTAGTTGTTGTGAATCGTTTACTGATTATGCTTCCCTGTTTAATCTTGGAAATAAGTTATCTACAGTTGATCTTCCTGCTCTAAAACCAGCCTGTTCTTCTGCCTCACTATCTTTGAACTCGTTCTGTATTTTGGCTTTTCCAACTTTCTCATACACCCTGCTCAGTGCTCAACGTATTGGTCAATTTGTCACTGCAATTCCTCAGTGGTTTTCGCATTTGCGTCTCCTTTCTTATATATCGCTGTTAAATTGCTTATTTGCCACTTTTGCCGTATCTCATGTTGATCTATTCATGTTTAGAATAGTTTTATTAAATGTTTAAATAGAGCAGGCGCTACAAGTAGTTGAGTATGCAAAATATGAGGATCGGCAAAACGCTCAAATTCGTGTTCCTGTGATCTTGAAGAATGGGAAAGTACATCTTGCCCGCAGCTGGAGTGGTCCCTAACTCTCCTGCCATTTCCCAATGCAAAGTTATATGGAAAATATCACAATTTCCAGTAATTTCACAATAATTCCTATTGATTGTACCTAAGGCTTTCTTTTCAAGCACTCAAAATAATTCTACCACTTGTTGGATATTTTTGCAATTCTGCTCCAAAATATAGGTACAGAAGTTAGAGAAGACTTCGACATTTACAGGGTCATCCAACGAAGACTGAACAGGGGCTTATTTTTGACTTTTCCTGTTCCTGTAGTTTTGAAAAAATTCAAAATAGCCAATTGGCATATTTTTTTCTGGAGAATTCAAAAATGATACCAAAAAATCATTTGAACTAAAAACTAAAGAGTTACGCCATGGATTAACTGTTTTTCAAATGAAACATCCTGTTTTTTATATAATTTCTGGAAAAGTCGCATTTTTAACGATTTGTCACAAGCTTTAAAATAATAATAATAATAATAATATTAAATGCACCGCTGTAGCTATGTCACCATACCTATACCTCTTGAGCAATGGACGGAAACCCAGAGGGTTGTGAGTTCAAATCCCACTAGCAACAGCAAATTTTAACATACTTACAACTTTCTATTTAAAACCCTGTCGTCATTTTCACCACAAGAGCAAACTGAATTAGAACTATAATAGTCGTTAAAATCACACACATAGCATACACTCCATGGAATTCCTTTATAAGTGAGAGGAGAGGGGATAGAAAAAAAATGGACCAAAAAATGAGCTGGCAAGATCCGGATTCTTAATCTTTGAGCTTTTCTCAGCTACAATCCATTGATAAAATGCGGTCCTCATATTATGCATACTCAAGTCCGTCTAACTCCCGGTCTTGCCTGTTGTTCTGTCAGTAATTCTTAAAAATACTCTTTCTGGGGTGTTATTGTGGTGATAATGTCCTTGGTTTTTGTTGTCCTCATGTTTTTCAGAATCTTCAACTTTCTGTGCTTCTTTTACCTCCCAGATAAGTATTAATATGCGTAGGTACAGTTTTTTTTTCCATGACTCATTCTTTTTATGTACTGTTTTATTCGGTACTCTCGCTTGTGCTTCTTTATATATTTCTATTTGTTCCTTTTATCTGCTATGTCGTTCTCGATTTCTTGATCGCACCCAATAAGGTTTTCGTCTTCTTTCAGTTTTTTCGTATTTGATACAAGTGAGATGAAGACAGAGTCTCCATCTATTTTCTGATCGGCACACTATCACACATCGTATTTACCTAGGGCTTCAACTCGATAGTTTCTTCAATATTCTGGTTATGCATTTCAAGGTTTTGGAAGGTCAGAATACTCTTCTATTGTTGGTCTAATCTTTTCATGTACAACCTCTTCACGCTTTGTTCTACAGATTTTAGGTTTTAATGGTTGTATTTCTCAGGCAAAATATTGTTTTCTTGTTTTTCCTTTCTGTTGTCTTTTGCGGTGTTTCTGCCTGGGATAAAGATTTTTGTTTTCAGGTCCGTTATTCTCGGAACAGGAAGAACTTTTTCAAGGATATGCAACTGATAATATAAGTAACAAAGACGGGACACTCGTTCTCCTAGGAACGCCGCTCCCCTGTTTCAAGAATAAGGACCAGGATGTATTGGTCGCTTCCCTATATGCACTCACATCCTGGTATTTTATGTTTGATCTCTGTTTTACGATAGTATAGTTGATAATCCATTGTTGTTGTCTAGTTTAATTTTTTTTATTAATAATGCATTTCTTTATGCTGAAAGTAACCATTTAGGACTTTTTCACATGTTGCTATGAGCTTTTAATCATTGATAGGATAATCTTAATTAACAAACAGAACCTTAAAAATAACGCAAAAAGCACAACATAGAGATAAAATAATACGATCAGTCAACAAAAAATTATTTCAAGATGGCAAAATATACATTTAAAGATACAAGCTCTTCTTCACTTTGCTACTAAATTTACTAAACGAATCACAAAATATATCAATATAATTTTTCTTTATCACATCATTAGCTAGTTTACACATTCTATTCAGAGGTGAATTCATCCCATAATTAGTTCTATGGAATTCAATATCAAAAAGCTCTTTATTCCTGGCGTTTATAGCCGAAACACGAATGCCCACCGCCGCAAGTAGGTCTGGTGCATCTATAATACTATTAATAATTTTGTAAAAGGTTATAATATCAAAATACTTTCTCCTATTCTCAAGTGATGCAATAAAT